TGACCACGAATCATGAACCACGGTCATGGTCGTTTCTCTTTCCGTTAGTCTATAAAATCGTGAATACTCAAATTCCGTGAATTTAAGTCATTTTGAAATTTATTGTTGAATTGTTAAATTGTTAAAATAGAGATTTCTCAACGTATACTGAAGATAAAATTAAGTGTCTGGAGAACTAGTAGGCAACCGATATACTCTTTGTTAGAAAAATATTGCTCTAAAAATTACCCACTATCATTCTGTTATGAGGTGATGTTTCATTGTGGTGAATTTTGGTTAATAGCATATTCTCAAAATATTTCATTAGTCTTATTTTTGAATATCAAGATATCGTTTGCCTTTGAAATCATTATAACAGATAATAGAGTCCAAAACTGGTTTCAATACATTTCTGTCACACACTGGCAATGAATTGAATCTGTAGATGAACCTCCCTGGGAGTTCTGAAAGTTGCGTAGGACTGATGTCATTACTTTAAGTCTCTCAGACTTGTCCTTCGAAGACAGTTCAGTCCAGCAACGCATTTCTGGTCAGCCCAATACCACTGATTCGAACTTGATGGCTCAAAGTAGCTGTGTCTGAGCTTCGATAACGAATGCTCAAACTTTTCGGCTCTATTTTCATGTATTATTTCTGTTGATGTTACCGTAATTTGTGAACGTGAAAAGAGCCATCCGCCTGATTGGAGAAACGAACATCAATTGCAACCTTGATAGTCTGGAACATCGAAGAAAGATTGGAGATTTGCCTCTCTTTTATAAATAGTTTCACGGGAGGTGGCACATTTGATTCCACCAAGAGTGGTACATATCAGAAATACGCGACGGACTGTGGCTGCTCGTCTGTATTGAGGTTCAATTTAGTATACTCCAAACTCCACTATTTGAGAACTATTTCATTTGGAGAACTGTGTTTATGGGGAATAAACTTCCTGAGAACGTTTTTCCAAATGAATTTGATCTCCAGCGATTCAAATCCGTAAATCACTATTTCCGCTAAGAGCGGTGCCTCTCTTAAAGCGCCTTAAGGTTTTTCTTGTAGTGCTTGTGTTTCGTCCTTGAAAAATCAGTTTGAATGATAGTATTTTAGAAAATAGAAATCCCCTTTAATTTTGATGTATGATCATCGATACCACACTAACCGTCGACACGGATCATTAAAATTTAATTTCGAAAAGAACCTCAACTTCTCAAAATACGTTCATTACTGCAACTTAGAATTTTCATCTCTGAAGCGATTTTACGCAATAGATTTTATTAAATATTGGATATTGCTGAATTCGAGTAACTTTTGTTTTACATCATTACCATTTTTCGTTTTAGAAGCTTGTTAACAGCTTACGATAATAATTACTGACGTTTTGGCAATTGTGGGGTGAAAATTCATCGCTATGAGTCCAAGAAACGTACTTAGTTATTTTGCTTATTTCAATTAATATTGTCAACTAACATTATCGTTCATAACATCTCTAAACGATATCATTTGACGTCGATAATTCTTGGTAGATCAGGGTTACTATCTGGGAGGGATTGCGAAATGTCATCATTTTCGATTGACATTTGTGGCTGCATATGATGGCACTGTCATGTGGTTGGTTATTGGTCGAATTCACTGACCAATGATACGAAATCGTTGTGACAAATGAACAGTATCAACAGTTTTTGAATATCAAGATATTCGCCTTTGAAGTCATTATAACAGATAAAGTCCAAAACTGATGAATGAATGTCTTTTCGATGTCATCGATGACATAAGTAGATCAATCTCATTCCGTGATATAAACAATCGTAATTTACGAATGAAATGTGTGTTTTTTTATAATGTTATCCACATTGGTACTGAAGAGCCCTAAGGCAAGTGTCATTCGGCGAAACATCGATGTCTACCCGTGAGCATGACAGTGTCCATGTAAGTGAAATTTTCATTTTCATTAAGTATATTGTGAGAAACTCTGTGAATGATATCTGATTCAATCTCATAACGAATGTTTGGAATACAAACTGAGTAGAAAAAGGTGTTTTCTGTATAATTCAGTGTTCATATAAAAGATTTCACACTGAAATGTTAAACAGGCCTCTACAAATTTTGACACTTTGTGAAGCTCAAATTATACATTTGCTCTTATATATGAAAAACGACCATCTGCCTAATTAGAGATCCAAAAACATTGTTAGTTTACAATAATGAAGGAAGGTTGAGAACTAGTCTACTTTCTATCGATACTTTCACAAGGAGTATCACCATGAATTTTTTTTTCTGAAAAAAAAAACTTTTCTTATATAGGAATTCATCACAGCACATATTAGATTATTTCACGACGGTACCAATCCTGTATATTCACGAAAATGATATGAGGCACTTTTTTGGCAGAGTTGCATAACAGGAACTATTTTTCATTTTTTGTTCTTCCAAAGTATGGAAAAAAATTGGGAAGATATCGTTTGAAAATGGGCCAAAATTCACCTCTTTCAAATTAAACACCCTGTATATTAGAATAGTTTTGAAATTCTGGGAGAATTTCGAATCATTCTCATGGAATTATTTCCTAATAATTGAATTGAACTGGCCCATACTTGATGAAAATCCATATTAAAACTCATTGATACAGTTTATTGTATGATTTTCACTATAAGGGGTTTTACAAAAACCACGACACGTGTTTTATTATTGAGAATAGTATTTCAGATGAATAAATAATGATTTAAAAAATCTTTATTCTAATTGTTCTACAGAATACCATAAATTCAAAAATACACTTTTCACACAAAATACATAGACTATTTCAAAATATGTTCAAAGACATTTTCGTTAACTTCCAGGCATTTATCCACTCTGACCTTCATTAGTTCGGACTTCCATTGTCTATTATGATTTCCCTATGATTCGAAATGAATGAATTGAAAAAATATCAATTCTGAAACCTGAAACGAAAATACAATAAAATATACATGAAAATGAAAATTAGCAAAAATTGATAAAAAACCAATGAGTGAAAGATTTCAAACCAAGTTACAGCAAGCGCGCCAAACATGATGGCAAGCGATCACGCAGGTATAGACTCGTCCAACTAAATTACTATTGTCTTACGATTGCCGGCCAGTGTCGTACCTATAATAAGTTTTGATTGGGATAACAAATGGAACATGACTTCTTTGTAATTTATTTTCATATTTAGTTTATTATCATAGGTAGTAGATCGGTTCATCAAAATGTTATATAATGATACACTTATCCAAAAATAAACTTTTGTTAGGCGATGACATTTCTTCACAAACAACACAAATTATTCACTTGTGATATACTGTTTGGAACCTTTGGTGTAGTAATGAATATTACTGGAGTTTTTTCCCAACACCAAATCGTTATTTTTACACCTCGACACGTGTTTCGATCACCAAGTGATCGTCTTCAAGAGGAAGATAAAACTCAGTTTTATCTTCCCAGTTGATAGCAGTCTATTGTCAAAGCACAATTTCAAGTTATCAGCGAGATACATATATGAATTGAAAGAAAATAAGTGTCGTCAAACATCTATATTTAATATACGAGTATACATGTGTCAGTTTGCAGGGCAATTATTCTGATCAACCTTCTTGAGAGAAGTTTTTGAGATATTCTGGCTCTCTAAAACTTCATGTGCTTTTTCAATCACTTCACTGGATGGATATTGATCACGAGTGAGAATAGATGCCATTCCTGTTGGGAAAATAACAATTATGAAATTAGCGTCTATTCACGTGAAAGTTGAATGTTTCAGAGGGTTACTATTAATTAGCAGTACAGTGTCGTTTTCTTGAAAATTAATAATACCATCCATGGAAATTATTAATTAATGGAAAAGTAGAAAGCCAAAACTTTTCTTTCCCAAAAATGATTCACTCTTCGAATCTCTTTCGATGAGAATATTAAATATTTTCTCATTGGGATATCTTGTAATGATCTGAATAGGCTTTTCGATGCATATTTTTAAATTCGATTCAAGGAATAGCTAATTGTTCAGACTATATGATTTTTTTGAATCCCAGTTGATTTCCATTATTTTAGTTCTTGAATGAGTAGAATGATGAATCAAATTCAAAAGGTAATAAAATTGATTTATTTTGAATGATCATTATTGTTAAATACTTACTTGTAGTAGAAGATCCGAACCTAAATCGACCTTCACCGAGCTGATGATAGAATGAAAATTACTTTTGTTTTGTGCACTGCCTATTAGATTTTTGTCGTTTCTTCTCCTGGTGATTTGTCCTATCCTTGATGGTAATGGACATCCAATATTTCCGTCCATGTCCTTTTTGTGCAGAAATGGGATGACCTTTCCCCACATGGCGACTGATGGTACTTGCTCGTAGGAGATACGTGCTCGATTGGCATATAGGAAATCCCTTCCCAATAAGGCTTGAACCGTTCCCAATGTTTCATCCTCACAAACGATTGCGGTACATCTTGTGTTAACATCTCCATCCTCAGGTCCTATTGTCATACTCGTAGTACCCCACGTCCGCAAAGGANATATGAAAGATCCTATCTTTTTTTCGATGAGGAATCACCTCCTTGAATGTTTTACACTTATTCAGTTACAGTTACGTATTGAATTCGAGTCTATGTATAATAATTTCGTCAACTATGAGATCCGGGGAGTTACCTGAACTGTGATTTGTCTATTTTTTCACTATTTTTGAATGATACCAAAAAATTGACATTATTTGTTTTGGTTCAGGAAATATATAGAAAAAACCGAAAAATGAAATCGAATTTTCTAATATTTCTGCAAAAGTATAATTGTCACGGTCCTAAAAAACTTACCTGGCACTGCATTTACACTTACATTTGGCACTGCATAATTTGTATAAGTTTCAAAATGGCAGTCACAATTTTACCAGTGATTCATTCTAAAGAAGCAAAACTACATCCATTCCTTATTTCAATTCCAAGTGAACAGTCACTCATATTTTCCAGTGTCAGGAAGGGAAATCGAAAAGAGAACAGCAATGTTTGTAAATATTTATTCATTAATTTGCTGACAATAATAATAATAAGAATTAACGTTTTTATTGGTAGAAAAATACAAGTAACACATGATGAAAAAAGGAACAGATGAAGGAAGTCAACCAAAAGGCAGAGGTTAACTTTTGTCGGTACCACAGAAGACAGACAAATACTCTCTTCCACTCAACCTTCCAAAAAAAAAAACTGGTAACTATAGCTAGAGTGCAGGACTCAACAATAAAATTCCTTATACATATGTAATCATGAAATGACTACCTTTTATGGAAAATTGAGCATTGGGTGGGAAAAAAAACAAAATTGCAAAAGTGGTACTAGAATGCAACAATAAAAAAAAAGGGAAAGTTTTTTGAGTACAGAAAATAACTGTCAAAAGTTCAGCTCACATTCGTGGAGTCTTCTTTTAGTTCGTCGCTTGAAACTCAAAATATTTAATCTTACAAATTCATCAGGAATCCAGTTGTACAGTCATGTGATCATATACGAAAAAGAACATCGAAACTGGGTGTTGATATGGTGAGATTTATATTCTGTTTCACATTTTTCAGTTTGCTTTACAATTTTTTTGACTTGTCTTCTCAATAGGACGCCTTGATATATTTTGTTTTTTCAGAACATCATATGCTCTTTCCATTATTTCTTTCCTAGAAGTATTTTTACGGGTGAGAATCCAACAGAACCCTATAAAAATAACGAAATTTAACTAAAAATTAATAATTATTAATTTGGAAATAGAATTCCCGTCGAAATTGTGAAGTAAGATATTTGAGGAAACTCATAATCAACGTCACTGTATAGATCCGTCGTTAAGTTGATTTCGAGTAGCAGAACTCGAATGGATTCAATTATTGCTGAGGCCTCATCATAACGAGGTCCCTTTTAACGTGTGATTCCCAACACCGGTTGGTCGATAGCAAGTGAAAATCGAGCGTTCAACCTGCGGCTTGAACCATTGACTCACGTATCAACCGATTGACTGAGTGAACAAAGCACCCACGTTGAACCGCTCGGCTACCGACCGATCGGTAGTCAAAGCTCTGCAAAAAAGGAAATTGAATTGAGAATAGGCTCAAAGCACTGGACGAAATCATGGGAGGGTTTGAAAATAAATTATAAAAAGGAGAACAACATCGTAGAAATAAGACAATATGAATTTACTGAATAGAGAAAGGGCATAACAAAAACTGTGAAGATCAAATAACTGCCATCTTCAACAACAAATTGAAAGTTAACCTTGTGAAATTCTGCAAACTATCACAAAAAATGCTCTACTGAAAAATTCAGGAATCGTGAAAAAAAAAATGTATCGCATAATCAGCTCTAAATCCTGAAAGTTGTCATGGCAAAGTAGATAGGAATAAAAAGGTATGTTCGAACAACGGTGCTAGTTTCATGAAATCTTTTCTTTATGTTCATTCTGTTTTATTATTTATTCATTTCCAATATGTTCTTTATTATAAATTCTATTGATAAGTAGTACCGATACCTTTGAGGGAGATATAGTGGCACCCACCACCCACACCGGATAATGTACATTGAAGTATCTTGATGCATGATTTCCTGTATTCGAACGAATACTGATACTTTGAATAACATTGAATGATTTTTTTGATATTAACTCAGTATTGAGACATCTATTAGTATAAAGGTTATGATCCATTCAAACGAGATCGTGGTATAAAGGAAGGTGGTGTATGTGCTTATGTGAAGAAGTCCTCACGATTATTATAGTGAAAGGTATTAGTATCTAAACCACAATTGTGGCTGAAAGTGAAACAAAAAAAGACTGAACTTGCTTTATGTGTTGCGTACATGGCACGCTCACAAAATATGAACATTTTTTTTAATTGTTTGCAACTGATTTAATTTTTTCTATGGTTGACGATGACATATGTAGTATGTTTTTTAAATTGAAAGGGTATATTGTTAGGAGAGAATAATTTTTGGGGAAGGAACCTGGGTTTGCGCTGGTCAGACCCGATCCCCCGATACATTCGGAAGGGTGCGCCAGCAACCAACAACCACTCCCCACACCGTGTGGTAAGTGATCATTGATCATTGGGTCCAAGAATCTTATGCCCTGAGCAAGCGAAGTGAGCCAAGAATGATAGCATTCTGCATTTCTCCGACTAAGATTTCTGCATTTGTCCAGATAAGATGTATGCCTTAGTGCGGCAACTGGACATGATTTTGAGATTCAGCTAAATAATCGGACATGCTGAATATTCATCATCGGCAATCTTCTGCGATCCAAGCCGAGCATTTAAAAAGTATCCCACTGAAATGGGTTAACTCATTTTTGGCGAACAGAAAACAATATGTATCTGTACAAGTAAACTCTAATAATACAAAATACAATAAAAAATCTGAATGTCTGCTATAGGTTTTGTATATCAATCAGATTGATTGCATTTTAAAAGGTTACTCGACCTACGCAGATGATATATCATTGTTCTTGTCTTCATCTGACACTAATTTACAACCGAGAAAGAGACGATTTGGGATGCAAACTTCTATGCAAACTTCGGATTTTCGAACTAATGAAATTCATCATTAAACATTGTCAATTACCTTCAAACAAATTCTATTAGGTTATTATCATTATTATTATTGTATATCTTCAAATTCAACTACCAATCCATTTCTATCAATTTCAAGTATCTACTCGCTACGAACTGCAAAACATCAAATAACCAGAGCTATTTTCCTGAAATTTTCCTATTTTCACACTTTCACAGCGATCTTCTCGTTTTTGCCTTTGCAGCAACACATAAAACCTTTTGAAATTTTTTATCAGAAATGTGATATAGGTACTTACTTACGGAAAATTTTCCTTCCTGTATACAGGACCATACTACAGCGTATTCTTTATAATCTGTATCCAACACCCAATAGGGAACGTCAATGTTCACTGAAAATTCAAAAATTCACATCACATGTTACGAAATTGAAAATAATATTTCAAACCATATTACAAACTTCTTGTTCAAAAACTATTCTACCATCAACGGGGTACAATCTGATTTGGATGACTGACGAAGCCATATGAGTTTTCAACTGATGTCACGTTTCAAAAAGATAAGGGACCTCCTCATTACGAAGTGCTGATTGAATGAACCGGTGAATACCCATACGTCATCCTTAGAATGGTCCGCTAGTTCACCTGATATGTGGCGATTTAAGTATACGTTGCATAACAGCAGTCTATTCCAGAACTCATGAATAGAATAAGAGGTTTGTTCTGGTTCTAACATCTGAAACTGTTTGGAAACTGCGCAAGACATGATGCGTACAAGCAAAAAAAATCTCAAACAGTCCGAAATAGTGTCGGACACTCGATTAAACCAGAACGCATTTTTAAGAAACCACTGTGCCACCTATCGTGTATATGAAGAAATAAAGACGAGAAAATATTGTTGATCATGTTCATTTTGTTATGTAGCGTATCCTTGTAGTTAGTTCAAACGTTATGAATTATTTGAATCAAATAAATAAAAAAAACANATGTCATTTTCAACTCTGAATGAAAAGAGTTGTATCGAAAATTCAAAATTGTGATGGATGATGATGAATCGGAAATTTTACGCTGATGCATAATTAATTGCCATATCAAATGGAAAAGAGATTCTACTATAAGAGTAGCAGAGTGTCTTTGCGAAATAAACATGAACTGGGATACCGATGGGAAGAGATATCCTGACATCTTCGAACCTGAATTCCATAGAACCAGAACAAACCTTGTGCTGCTAATGAAATTATTTCAGAAACATTTTATAATGTGAGAAAAAATCTCATTAACAAATTTTGAAAAACATTTTTTCTCGAATCTATGATATTTATCGTTTGTCTGCAGATTCTTGAATTCAATATGCAACTGCCAAGTACTGAAGAACTGCTGATTTGATTTTCAGTAATAAAACTCTATTGGATAGAGAATATTTAGAAGACGCGCGTCTCTCGACGTGCCAAATTTACTGTACTAATTATTAATTAATTCACTCACTAGAAGGAATCCCCATGATCAGCTTAGCTTCTCCTGTTTTATTATCCAGTTTAATATCACCCTCAAAGTTGTTTGGTTTTTTTGTTCTGAAATAATGAAACTTTGTTTAATCTAGTATGAAAATTCAAGTATTTGTCTTTATCTAAGTTTATGAAGATAACTATGAAACCACAATTCTTGCAAGCATATTACTAGAAGAAACGGTAATTTTACTCACGGCGAATGTTAGTTACACCCAAATAAATCAATTTGTTTCAGATCATCTTAAAGTTTATTTGAATTCAAGGAAAGTTTAACACAGGCATCCTTCTGAACTTCATTGAGAAATTGATCACTGCCAGTTGTACTTGAGTTTTTTTGCTGAAAAACTTCGAGTTACATTCAGTTGCTCAGAATATGGATTCCTATCAAACTGCATAAAATAATTTGCACAATAAAAAACTCAAATTTACATAAGGCTGTTTTACTCCAGTCACTTCACAATATAGAATCAAGATGTGATGTTCTTCACTAATTCGCAACTATCAGTTTGGATACTGTTTTGTTCTATTCCAAACCCTACAACTCTTGACAGTCCCATGTTATATATGTCACTCTTGCTATTGCGCTTCTCCTTTTTCTGCCCTAAGACCTTCCTTTTGAAATCTAACAATGAATTTATTTTTGGTATAAATTGAGTTCAATAAGTTGGTTTTTTTCCTACTGGTCGTATATTCAAACTATTCCTATCATATGTACGAAGAATATTCACTTCTGCATTTTGCTTAGAGCAGTACCTATGGTATCAAATTATCTGAAAGAACATCTATCGGAAAGAAAACGACTTCCCTGGCTAATACCACGGAGGACGTTGGATTATATCCGACAGGTGTCAGTGTAGGGTTCTTCACTGAAGTTATTTCTGGATATTCTGTTGGCGATACAAATGCCGAAATAGATTCTCAATTATTGTAAAACACTTGCAGGCCGGTTTCGGGTTCCGATAATCGAAAATTGAATTCCTTCAGAGTATCATTCCTCGAACTAGGCTGAAGCGGACAACAAACAACAGGTTTGTTATCACCCTATGTGTCTGTGAACGAGATAACCAACCGCATATCCGAAATCTGACAATTCCTGGTTTAAGGAAAAAAACTTCACAAATTGAGTGGGCATACATGGAGACTGGTATCTTTGGGTATCATTCTCAAAACTAGCGACTGTAGAAATGGTGTTGGTTTCTCTCAAACACGTTTCAGAAAGGCGTATGATGTATGCGTCGGCTACGATTATGACTATCTTCGTCCTCAAAGTCAACGCATACAAGTACACCACCACCAATGACTGTCATCGTAGCAGACGCTTGATACTACCAGTTGCTTTCGACCGCCGCCTAGTAGCCGAAATTTGATTTTTAAATTTTGTACTTCCTGATTATGGTATTGTTTCTCTTGTTGTACTAATACTCGATCTATCACATATGAAGCTAGCTGCATTTCATGTAGTTTTTTCATATTTCTACAGATTGAAAGACATTCTCAACTTTTCCTTGTTGTAGAATCATTCTTGTTTTCATTTTCTCCTACAAAATTTTTAAGGTAAAATGTGTGCTTTGTGTGGTTCGATTTCCGTAGTATTTATATGTGTCATCGCCTCGTGAAAGCTGTCTCTAAAAGTTATTGGTTATACGTGTTCCGAGACAATTTTAATGAAAAAAAAGTCTCTATGAACTTGTGTCCGAAAATGTTTTCTTTTGGAGATACTGGGTGTTTAGATTAAATTTTTTTGTTCGTTTTTTAAAAATGACTTTTGCATGAAATTTGGTACCCGGTGTTTTCTTGACGTGGGAAATCATAATTTTGTAGGTTTTCATTTTCTTGTAACATCTAGAGGGCACTGCGTACGCTGTTATAATTCATTTCAAACTACCCTACCGTTTTTGACATTGAACTTTTGGTACTCTTCATGAAAAACCTAATTTCAATACTTTTTCCGAGTTCAAAAGGTATACTTCCTCAACAACGCCGGAGGAGATCGTTTTCGAGATATGCACAATTTTCTATATCGACGCATATTGCTCAACTCTTATGGCAGTACAGCAGTACAGAAACATTTTCAAGGCGCTATCAGAGCGATACCTGTGCGAAAGTAGCGATTCACATTTGATTTGAATCGCTGGAGATTAAATCCATTTGGAAAAACGTTCTTGGGAAGTTTATTCCACATAAACGCAGTTCTCCAGATGAAAGAGTACTCAAACGGTGAAGTTCGAGGTGTACTGAGTTGAACCTCAAAACGATGATCAACTGCTACAGTTCTTCGCGTATTTCTAATATGTTGGCTCAAATGTGGTGGAATTAAATGTGCCAAGTCACTTGAGTACCGTGAAAATATCTATAGAAGAGAGACAAATCTCCAACATTTCTTCGATGTTCCAGGCTATCAAGGTTGCACGTGCTGTTCGCGTCTCCAATTAGGCGGATGGCTCTTTCAGCAACTCCAGCATATGTTTGGCGGCAAAGCTCCATACATGAGAACAATACTCCAAAGAAGGTCTGATCTGAGCTTTATAAAGCATCAAAAGTTGCTGAGGTGTATACAGTTTTCTGGTTCGTAACATTGTTTCAAGCTTTAGAGAAGCAGCCTATGAAATTCCAGCTACATGATTGTGCCAAAACATATTGAAACTTATTGAAGCAGAAAGCGAAATTTTCTTACTTGACGTTATATCCGGTTCGGAGACATTTATCTTGCATATGCATATTACTTAGCTTCTAGGGCGCTAAGTGAAGTTGCTGAGACCATTACAAGAAAATCAGTATGTGGTGGACCTCGTCAAAATAAACAATTTCTTCCTATAAAATGTTTTCAGAAAAATCATTTTGAGATACAAATAAGTGAAATTGTAAAACACTTATGGGAAAAAACAACCATGTTTTGAAAAATTTCAATAACTTGTATCTAGAAAACGAATAATTTTTAGAAAAACTGTTTACATAAAAACGTTGTTTATTTTGACAAAGTCCACCATATATTCAGTTTTTGTAATGTTCTCAGTAACTTCACTTAGCCCCCTATAGAGCTAATTAATATACATCGATATAGAAAATTGTAAATATTTCGAAAACCATCACTTCTAGCGTTGTTGTTTTACTCAAAAAAGGTGTGAGGATAGAGTTTTTTATGAAAAGTACCAAAAGTTTACTGTCAAAGAAGTTAGGGCAATTTTAATCAAATAATGGCAGCGTACGCAACGTACTTTAAATGTTACACACGAATTAATACGGAATTATGATTTCTCATGTCAAAAAAAAAACCCGGTTTCCAAATTTCGTGCAAATAACTTGTTTTCCGTATTGAGTATTTGAGTATTTTAACGTACTTGTGTATACCTACCAAAAAGTCTGAATGAAATTTATCAAGTCATAAAATAATATTCAACTGGGAAGGTGAAAGGGTCGCCGAAAAAGTATAAAAAACATGTGAAACAAGTTGCATTAGCAAAAAAAATCAATGAAGAGCACGGAAAGTTTACGTCACATAACCCTACAACTATAGAGATTATACATACCACCAACGACGATGATTGTGGTCATCGAATTCTTCTTTTAAAAATATCAGAGACAATGTGTCCCGTATTCTTTGTGAATTTTTATTATCACTAACGGATATTGTATGCGAAAAACTGGAGTAGATATCTAATGTTAACAGTCATCGTAATGATTTTTGAAATGTTAACATGTTTGGAAATACAGTTTTGGAACATCGATAGTACTGAATTTCATATTTTCATTTAAGGATCTTTATATAGTGGAGTAGGAGATTCCCATATAAACAAGGTAGTTACTGACTGACATTGATTGACTGACACTGATATCCCCACATATCACATTCAATGAATGTTTAGATTTCGCGCGCGTCATAACCTCTTTGGTAGCGTTGCCACATATTTGTTACATGGCACTTTTTTATTGATGATTCACTGATTATTTTCATCATACGTTGCTCATATTTCCAAAAAATATTCATTTTGCAAAATGAAATGAACTCTGTGATGTCCCATAAGTATCAATGGGGTAAAAGACACCATTATTTTATATTAATATATGTTTTTCAGTTCTCTGTAGACCTCTGGGAATGTAACTGGTTCATTATTTCATAATAATCTACCAANCTTCAATGGCCAGAGTTTCAAACCACTCCATATATATGTTGGCTATGACTGGTGAAAGTGGCGATCCCATTGGCAGTCCCTCATCTCGTGTAAAGAATTCGTCCTTCAGTTGAAAATAACAGTTTCGTACACAGCATCCTAGTAATGCCATAATTACTTCTATAGGTAAATTCGTTTTCTCTTTCAGGTTCCCGTCTTCGGATAGCTTTCGCTGTATGATTTGGAGTGCTTCTTCGACCGGAACGTTGGTGTTTAAAGGCTATTCACGTCGGAACTAATTAGTTGATCTTCCTATGTGACTTCAATTGACCCTAGTAGTTTGACAAAATGCCTTGAATTCTTCACAAAACACGATGTTTTTCCTTGTAATGGTTGTATTATGGAAAGTAAAAATCTAGACAAGTTTTGAGTAGTGCTGTCTTTTAGCCAAAGTCTTTTCTACTATCGCTCTGGAGTAGCCATTCCGTTGAAGATCATTTTTGATGATGTCTAGTTTCTTCTCGATACCTTCCATTGTATTACATAGCCCGGGCATTGCGTTTCCAGCAACCCAATTCAATGATAGATGAAACAGAGAGAAACCATTTTTATCGCAAAAATAGTATAAGTTCTAGCATTATACATGACAAACGTGCGATATTTTGCAAATATCACCACCATTCACCAAGCCTTTCAAGATGTTGATACCGAGTGCTGGTATTAATAAAACGCCTGAAAAAATGTTGTTCCTTCAATATCCTGTAGCAAGGAATCATTATTTTTCTTAAATTATCCATTCCAACTCAGCGTTATATAGCCTCTCAAGCGTGGATATTTTCACGAAATTTTCAGTCTGCTGTTACAATTACTCATCAATTAATGCTTCTTTCTGATTTATTTTTTCTTTTTCTGAAATTGATTTTAGCAGCTGCTCCCACCAGATGCAGGTTTCTT